AAAAGAAAAGAAAAGAAAAGAAAAGAAAAGAAAAGAAAAGAAAAGAAAAGAAAAGAAAGAAAGATACATTAAGTTCCTTCTGATTTTCCTACGAGTTTTCTTCTACTTTCTAAACCTGGGTTAGTCATGGATGAACTTCATGGTTTTGCTGGATGTTTGGGTGATCCAGACAGATAAGAAGGGGGCAGCCTTCCTTTCCGATAGTTTTTTTAATGATTTTTTTTTTTTTAAGAAGGGGCAGTCTTAGGGAGAACTTGGCTGGCAGACCACCAGGAAAAATTGGCAGGGGCAAAGGATAGATCGGAAAAGGTAAAAAAAAACCCCAAGAATAAGGCAATTGCAACTCACTTATTTAACCTTCCTTTTTTCTTCCCTAACACATCAATAAAATGCTTTTCAAAACACCCTCTTAAAAAATAGGTTGGTGATCCACAGAGGTAGAATACGCTTCAGCCATAAGGTCAATCTAATGTATTTGTCAACTCATAAAATATTTTTATGGTCTTTTTAGAGTTGCCAACAGAAAGGGAGGGGGGAAAGGGGTTTGAAAGAGCAGTGCAGCAGCTTGGAAAGTGAAAGTGCATTCCATAAATAGTTTTTCAAAGATAGTAACTAGGTGACTGAAGTTTCTGCCACACAAAATTCTAACTGGAGAGCCCAATTGATGACTCTGGGCTATGGATGTGTCCCATTGGAGAATATGAATGATGATACACCCAGGGGGTGGGGTGGGAAACCAGGGTCAAGGGTGACAATGAATTATGTGTCTCAGAGTCGGCTGCACTCAGGCAGTGCCGGACATGTTAACTCCCAATAAATCCTTTGGAAGTTTTGGAAGTTTGGCTCGAGACTCATGATTTAAATGGGGGGAACTGCCAGAATCCTGACAATATTACTGTGAGATCAAATTGCACCCAAAATTTAATAGCAGAGATGCTGGGAGACAAAGAGTTTTAGTTTAAGAATAACTCAGATGTCGCAACCAAAGATGACCGGTCACAAGAAAGGCTTAAGTTTCTCCTTTTTTGACTCCTGCTCACAGTGTCTCCTTCCTGCAGATCACTCTGATACAATCCTTCCCCTCCTCAACTCATGGAGTAAACAGTGATTCTGGGGTAGGGAAAGACTTTACTTTCAACTGGGTGTAAACTGACAAACTCTCTTGGGTTCAAAGAAAGTGTGTGTTAGCCCTGCAAGGTACCTTGCAAGCCCAAACACGCGTTCCCTCTTCTTCACTTTAAGTTTGTGTGAATTGGGGCAGAAAACCTTGCGTTCTCCTGTTCTTTTCTTGGCCTGGGCTCAAACCCCCCCCCCGCTTCTCTAATGGTTGCCATGGTAGCAACTTTTCTTCCGGTCTTTTAAGGCCTTTCCCCATGTCTGCTGAAGCAGAGGACTCCAACCTGGGCAACTTTACAAACTTGTGGTAGTATTGTAGTATTCCTCACTGAGGAATTCTGGGAGCTGAAATCCACCAGTCATAAAGATAGCAGGTTGGAGACCCCTGCCCTAAAGCATAGGGATTGTAGGGATCTGAATTCAAGGGATGAAATTCCTTGAGCAAAATGCCTTGTCTCATGGGGTGGTCTTCCCAATGCTTCATTTGTGGGCTCCTATTATTTCCTGAAAGACCTCAAAAATATGTTTTTCTCTCTCAGGACAGGATGCTTTTCTTAGCTAACATTCGGAAAACGTCTCAGCTGGGCACAGACCACCGTATCGTCTCTATGGCATTTCTTCTCCTCTCTCTTTCTTGTCCCTCTTTGCTTGTAACCTGCTCAATCCACCTGGATGCCTTCAAAAAATGTTCTCAACTTATACAATAATGCCACTTGCCTCTTTGCGTAAACCCAAAAGATAAAAAAAGCAATGGTGATCAACAGAAGCAAAGCAGGAATGCTTGAAATCAAGATGTATGGAAGGCTCCAAGTAGGCTCTGGAGAGAAAAGAAACCAAGACTTTTAATGTGTTATTCAGAACAAAGTTTTATCAGAGTAGAATTGTGACTCCCCGCACCCATTTATTTATGTGTTGTGGGGAGATACTCTCTGTAGGGTATACAGCAAAAAGAACAATGTATATTAATTCTCTTTAGGTGTGGCAAAGACATTCGTTCTCCGAGAGATTCAGGGTATTGTTAAAACAGCTTTGGAGAAAGGAAATTGCAACTGCATTTTAAAAGTATTTTTTTCATTAGGTTTCACAAAAGGTAAACATGACATAATATAGAGTAAAATTAAATCAAAGGAAAAGTGTGAATTCAGAAATCAAGAAACGTGATTAAGAAATAGGAAGAAGAAAAGATACATAAAGAAATGACTTCCAACTTTCTTTGCAGCAATTATTACAAACTTATCCTTTCTCCGTTTTCATTAAAATTATGAGAAATTGCAATGGGCTTTCTTTACCTTTGGCCTCTGGGAGGGTTTTGTTAGCTACAGCCTCCTCCATGGGGGTTTCTGGGGACGTGAACGCCAAAGACTCTGTTATGTACCCTAGGGAAAAAACCTGAATGTTACGACTTAAGGATATTGTCTTAATCATGTAAATAGTTGGTCTGGATAATTCAAGATTAAGGAGGCCCTAAGATTGATAGAAGAGGATTCAGGACTAGGATAAGACACAAATTTGGCTGAAGGGTCCATATTTTGGGATCAACCGGTTCAAAAAGGATCAGTGAGGATCAAACATTCCAAAAAAGCAATTGAGAGTCATGGGTCAAAAGAGCACGCTTTACTTATTTATTATTTAACACAACATTTCTCAACCTTGCAAACTTTTAAGATGTATGGACTTCAACTCCCAGAATTCCCCCAGCCAGCATCCATGCTATCTGGGGGAATTCTGGGAGTTGAAGTCCACACATCTTAAAGTTGACACGGTTGGGAAACACCGATTTAATGGCTAACCATGTCTTTCCTTTGGGAGTGGAGGACACTCCAGAGACGGGATGAATCTCTCCTTCTTTCCCCATAAAGAATAACAACAACCCTGTGAGGAAGGCTGGCTGGAATGCAGAGGTCTTCTGAAGCCACCAGCAGGCTCCTAGGCTCTATGGTTAAATGTGGGCCCAAATCTAGGTCTCCCTAATATACCTGTTGCGGAGCTGGCAACAGATTTGGACAGTGGGGAGGTTGGGGAGGAACATGGGCCAGTCCCGGAGTCTGGGGAAGGCTCTGGCGAGGGCTCTGCGTCGGAGGCAGAGATGGGGCCGGGGCCGTCCAACAGTTATCAGCTGCCTTCGGAGTCGGATATCAGTGGGGCAGAAGAACAGCTGGAGCCTGTTCCCAGTGGGCGCATGCGCAGAGCTGCCAGAAGAAGGGAACAGCTAAGGAACAAGGATTGACTCAGGAGTAAAGGCACAGGTGGATGGTGAATGGCCCCTCCCACGGGGAATAAAGAGGAGCAAAAGGGGAGTGGCGTTTGCAGGAGACAATTAGTTTAATTCATTAAGGGGAAGATCTGTTCCTGGCTTCTTTCCAAGTATTGTCTGCTACAGTGTGGCATTTGGGAGATATCGGCCTAGCAACTCTGCACGCCTGATAAAGTTGTCTGTAGTTGTGAAATCTCATGAAAGACTGTTGGCCAGGACTTTGCTGGAGATGAATTCACTAAATAAAAGGGGTTTTATCAGGCCTTGTGCTTTTGGGAAGCTTAGGTCAGAACAATACCTCATTGTCTCTCTCACTCCTCTAACCATTTCTTTGGGGATATTTTTTTTTTTGCATGGTTTTGTTATTTGTGCTAGATTTGGCGGTTTTCCCAGCAAAAGTCTCAACCTCCCCCTCCTTTCCCTAACACCAAATGTTACCTGTCTGAGAAGCAGCCAATTCAGAGGCAACTGTCGGCTTTTCTGCAAAGGGAAGAAAGACAATTATAAGAGGGAGCATATGCCGAAAACCAAGTCCCAAATCCTACATTTGATTTGTTGTTGTTGTTAGTTGTGAAGTCGTGTTTGACCCATTGCAACCCCATGGGCAATGTTCCTCCAGGCCTTCCTGTCCTCTGCCATCTTCTGGAGTCCATTTAAGTTCATGCCAATTGCTTCAGTGACTCCATCCAGCCATGAGGTGGCCAAAGTCTTTTGAGTTTCACCTTCAGGATCTGGCCTTCTAAAGAGCAGTCAGGGTGGATCTCCTCTGGGACTGACCAGTTGGATGGCCTTGCAGTCCAAGGGACTCGCAGGAATCTTCTCCTCCAGCACCAGAGTTCGAAGGCCTCCATTCTTTGGTGCTCAGCTTTCCTTATGGTCCAACTTTCACAGCCACACATTGCAACTGGGAAAACCATCACCTTGACTGTACGCACTTTTGTTGGCAGGGTAAGTCTCTGCTTTTTAGTAGGCTGTCTGGATTTGTCATAGCTTTCCTTACATTTGATTACATGTCAACTAAAAAGATACCCCTTTGGTCTTTTTAGCTGCCAGCAGAAAGGGAGTGGGGGGAAACAGTGCATTCCTTAAGTGACTAGATAATCGCCCTGGCAGCCCAAAGTTGTCGGAGCACAAGAATGTTACTGGAGAGCATGATTCTTGGCTATGGATGTGTCCCATTGGAGAATATACATCCAGGAAAGTGGGGGAAAGACCAGGGTCAAGGGGGAAATGAATGATGTATTTTAGTATTGGCTGCACCCAGCTAACGCCAACATGGCCAGTTCTAATAAATCAATTTTCTTTTCTCTGAGAAATGCAGCTAGAGACTTATGATTTGAACGGGGGTGGATTTGTTGGAGTCCTGACACTTTAAAGCCAACGTGCGAGAAGCAAACATCTCAAAAACGACCGCAAAAACAGAAAACAACCTGCTTTTCACAGTTCAGGTGTGAACGTAAATGTCTGGCCTCAAACTGAATTTTTCCCAACTGGAATTTTCAGTTGCAAACCAAGACCGTGGTTAACTAAGTTCCGCCTAATTTTGTGACCTTTTTTTTTTTTTTTGCCAATAAAGAATTCTATTCTATTCTGTCTGAATTTTGATCGTGTGACTATAGGGATGGTGCAACGATTATAAGCGTGAGGAGTAGCTGTCACTTTTTTCAGTGCCATTGTAACATGGAACAAGGCACTAAAAGAATGATTGTAGGTACACCTGTACATCTTCAGGTAAGCAAGCAATATTACATCGATTTGCCAGGTTTGTGGTCATGAGATCAATTTATATGTCCAAATTATGAGCCCCGAGTACTCTGTCGCTAATCACAAATGGGGATTGTTTTCTTCGACCTCAACTAATTAATTTTTTGGGGGGGGGGGTAATCCATAACTTGCTATCAAAATGACTAGGGGACTGGAGACTAAAACATATAAAGAACAATTGCTGGAATTGTGTATGTCTAGTTTAATGAAGGTGTGATATGATTGCAGTGTTCCAATGTCTCAGGGGCTGCCCCAAAGAAGAGGGAGTCAAGCTATTCTCCAAAGCACCTGAAGGCAGGACAAGAAGCAACGGGTGGAAACTAATCAAGGAGAGAAGCAATTTAGAACTAAGGAGAAATTTCCTGACAGTGAGAACAATTAATCAGTGGAACAACTTGCCTCCAGAAGGTGTGGATGCTCCAACACTGGAAGTTCTTAAGAAGAGATTGGACAACCATTTGTCTGAAGTGGTGTAGGATTTCCTGCCTAGGTGGGGGGGTTGGACTAGAAGACCTCCAAGGTCCCTTCCAACTCTGCTATTCCATTCCATTCCATTCCATTCCATTCTTTCATTCTTTATTCTATTCTACTTATTATTCTATTCCCATGATGGCGAACCTATGGTACATGTGAAGTGCTGAAACGGGCCCATTTTTCGGCCTCCCAAGGCTGCAGAGGCTTCCCTCAAGCCTCCAGGAAGGCAAAAACGGCCTCAAACGGGCTGAAAATCAGCTGGGAGGCGTGTGCATGTGCAGTGCATGCACAGTACAGATAAGGGGGTGGGGCAGGAGTGTTGCATGCACATGCACAGGGGTCGGGGCGCATTGCATTGTGGGTCCTGGCATGTGCATGTGCTATCGCATGCACTTGTGCTTTTGGCACACCACAACAAAAAGGTTCGCCATCACCTATTCTATTCTATTCTATTCTATTCTATTCTATTCTATTCTATTCTATTCTATTCCATTCCATTCCATTCCATTCCATTCCATTCCATTCCATTCCATTCCGTTCTATTTCCTATCCTATCCTATCCTATCCTATTCTAAAATGATTTTAATCATGTTGTGATTTTTGTCCCTTCAAGCTTTTCCTTCAGATCAGTCCGGTGTGTCTTCCTTGAGTTTAAATTTTCAAAACTTTGACATGAGCAAACTCTGCACGCCAACAACAGGACTTTATTGATTATTATTATTATATATCTTAGCTTACAATCTACACCTTCTAAATTGTGCCACCGCTTATGATGCACTTCTCAAGTTGGGAAAAATGATTCAGCTCAGATTGAGCAGAGATGGGAAAACTAAGCATGGAGGAGAAGTATGCTGGTTTCACAGGATATGGTAAGATGTTCTCATTCGTAACTATTGGGAGAAGAACACTTAGTATTAGATCCCACTAGTAGTTGGAATGCTTTCAGTGAAGGCTAAACAAGAAAAACTCTAACAGGTACTCCTTGACTTACCACCACAACTGAGCCCAAAATTTCTTTTGCTAAGTGAGACATTTATCAATTGAGCTTTGCCCCGTTTTACGACCATTCTTGCCATCGTTATTAAGCGAGCCACTGCAGTTGTTAAGTTAATAACCCAGTTGTTAAGTGAATCAGGATTCCGGCAGTTACTCCAATTACATCATGAGCCTTGAGCCACACTCCCAAAACTAAAAAATATTTATTTGAAGGTAACATTCTCCGTCCGGCATTTACCTGGGCGTAGCCAACTCTGAGATACGTAATTCACTGTCACCCTTGATCCTGCTTCCCCCCCCCACCCCTCCGGGTGTATCATCCAATGAAACACGTCCATAGCCAAGAGTCATCAATCATGCTCTCCAATTAGATTTTTGCTTTCAGCCATCTAATCAGTCTTTGAAGAAAATATGAATGGAATGTACTTTCAGTTCCACACTGCCGCCTACTCTTTCAAACTCCCCACCTTCTTTCTGTTGTCAACTATAAAACATGTACACAAAACGTTTTATGAGTTGACACCGGCTTCCCTATTGACTTTAGAATAGAATAACGGAAGGGACACTGGTCTTCTAGTTCAACCTTCCAACTTTGCTCATTTGGAAGGTCACAAAATGGGATCACGTGTCCCTGGGACACCGTGACCATCATAAATATGAGCCAGTTGCCAAGCATTTGATTTTTGATCATGAGGATACGACATAATGGTCGTAAGTGTGAAAAACGGCTGTAAGTGTCACTTTTTTGAGTGCCATTGTCACGTCTAACAGATGGTTGTAACTCAAAGACTACCAATATTTGTGCCAGCAAGAAAAAAAACACCATTGTGGGCATCCCCAAATACAAAGGATATCGGGTTACCTTGTGAATATTTACAAATAAAGTTGTTTTTGATGTTGCATCGATCATCGTTCCACTGGAACAGGTAGCGTCCTCCGTCGCCGGCAGGTGCTGATGGCTGGTGATACATCACCACGCACCACTCACTCCCACAGGAGGGCTCGTCCATGTACCAGTTTCTGTAGGAAGGACAAGAACATTGCCATGTGCCAATACGACATCTCTAATAAAATGGATCTTTGAGAAGATGACAGTCTCGGAGTCTTTTAATTTGGATGTTGTTACTTGGAAGGCTGACATTAACCCGAATCCCTAAATCCAGGGGTGGGATTCTATCACAGTGGTCGCCAACCAGTGGGCCGGGGACCACTGGTGGTCTGCAAGAAAATTTTGGTGTCCGCAGAGAAATGCCATCCCCAAAGCAATTAATTCAGGCTGCATGGGAACGCAAGGCTGCGCTGCCCACATGGTCTACGGGAACACAAGGTTTGCGTCACTTGCATTGTGCACATGAGGTAGTGAGGGGAGGGGGGGAGGGGGGGAGGGGGGAGCTTGCCTGGCCACCGGGATGCTTCTTTCCGCTTCTTTCTTCTTCTGCTTTTGGCTGCACACAAGGAAAGCAGCCAAAGTCTTTCTTTCTCTCTTCCAAGCTCTGCCAGAAATGAGTTTTTGGGATCCTAGAAGGCCTCCTGCTCCAAGAGGCTGCGCCGGCAAAGACTCATTTCTGGCAGAGTTTGGGGGAAAGAAAGAAAGACTTCTGCGGCTTCTGCTGCTTTCCTTGCATGAAGCCAAAAGTCTCTCCCCCTGAGAATGGAGCTGGAGACGGTATCCTGTGATCCCAAATAAAGAACGATCAATCGGTAGGAAAATGGGGTGGGGAATTTTCCTTCAGACTTTTTTTGGGGGGATTTTCCCAGGGTCTCTGCTGCTTTCTGAAAACGTCAGCAAGCCACCATCGGTCAAAATGTATATTAGTAATCCATGGGATTTAAAATTATGAGTTTGGTGGTCTCTGAAGTCCGAACGGTTGCCGACCCTTGTTCTACCAGTTTGGCCAAACTGGTAGCTCTGAAGATCAGCTGCTGGGCCCACCCTGGCTCCATACTGACCTTTATTTCCTGCTTTTGACACTCAGCTGCATCGCGCAGCACAGCGGATTGCCGCGCGTCAGCTGTTGAAGACACAGGGAGAGTGCAGGAGTAGGTCAGTCGGAAAGTCTCTGCGTGTGCGCAAAGCATGCATGCACATGCAAAGCACGCCAACCAAGCCACCCACCGAACCAGTGGTAAAAACAATTTGAATCCCACCACTGCCTACATCTTCAACCAGCTCTCCGGTTAAATTTGTTGCTTGATGATGAAATTAACCAATTTCTTCTTGTTCCAGGATGTGATTTTCTCCTGGGGGGGGAAGCTTGTTAGCCTTGGAAGCCATTTTTTACTTGGGAGCTTCAAGGCTGCCATATTCAGCGCCTGGGAATTTGGGACGGGGGATTTCATAGTGAGGTAGAAGATTAGACTCAACAACAATCTTTTCTCAGAGAGTCAAGGACAAGTTGCCCTGCACCTGGAGAGGAGTGACTGGAGGGATGTCTGCAGTTGGGATGAAGATTTGGTTGGGCCATGTGATGGTGGGTGCAGGGGGTAGATCTTTGATTTCTCTTTCGGGAAGGGAAAACCCAGAACTCTCAGATTTGGGTTTTCCCAGATGTGCCAATATGACAACACTAATAAAAAGGAACTTTGAGGAAATGTCTGTCTTGGAGTCGATTGGTCTGAAGTTGATTAGTTAGAAGTGTTGTGGTTCACCGCAGCCTGTGCAGATGGCAGCGGGTTCGGACAGTGGGGAAGAACGGGGACCAGTCCAGGATTCTGGAGAGGACTTGGATGAGGGTGCTGAGTCCGATGCACAGATATGGCCAGGACCATCTGGGAGTGGGATGCTGCCTTCGGAGCCTCGAGGCAGAGGAACAAGGGGAGCCTGTTCCCAGTGTGCGTGTGCACAGAGCTGCTAGAAGGAGAGAGCAGCTGAAACAAAAGGGGCGACTCGGGAGTAAGGCTGGGAGGTGATTGCACCCCCCCATAAGGGATAAAAGTCAGACCTAAATTACATAACCTTTGCAGGAAGCAATGTTGTTCGTTTGGGTCAGATTCATTCTTGAAGCTCTTTGTACTTCGGTTGGTTTTTTTTCTAGTTCATTGGACACTTCTATTATTGGCAGCACTTCACAGGAAAGAAAGGTGGGTGCTTATCTTGAGGGACTGTTTGAGATTCATTACAGCTGGGAATGAAAATAATTCTCAGCATTGCAATAAAACAAGACTTGTTTTTAAAATAAGTGTGTGCGTAATTACAGTCTAGGAAGCCTTGGTCAGAACAGGAATGCTGACATGAGCCTGGCCTGCTAAATTCTTGAGGGAAACTTCATCCTGGCTTACCGAAAGGTGGACAAACTCCCATCAGTCCAGGTGTATAAAGATGGACATTGGGTGCTATTCCCGGGGTCTTCTTTTCTCTGGAGACCAATCCAGAAATCGCCATCGGAGGGTGAATAACTCTGGATCATCTTCTCAACCAACTCCTGTTCTGACTGGGATTCGATGCTGACCAGGTCTGCACCGTCCCTTCTGCAGGTTTGAAGGGCTTCCTCGAAGCCAACCCTGCGCGCAACTTCGTGAAAGTAAACAATTTTGTAGCAGGGGCGTTGCGTGCCTCTTAGGCAGACGGTGTTTCCTGTGGAAGAGAAACAACCTCAAGAACAGTCATGAGCAGGGGTGGGATTCTACCAGTTCGCACCTATTCGCTAGAACTGGTTGTTAACATTCTAAGCAGTTTGGAGAACCAGTTGTTAGAAGAAATTACTGGTCTAATCCTGTAAGGAAGGCAGGAAGGAAGCATTCTGGTGTTGCTTACAGAAACTGCCTCTCTATTAACCCTTATTACATTCTTGGCAGGATTAGACTTCCTGTCTCTGGAACTTCTCTGGAGTTTTTTCTCCCTCCTTTGCTGGTACTTTGCTTGTGTGGAGTGACCATTCAAAGTTACAACGGCACTGAAAAAAGTGACGTATGACCGTTTTCCACACTTACGACTGTTGCAGCATCCCCACAGTCATGAGAGGCCAGGCAAGGAGATGCGTGCCTCGATGTGAGTGATATTGAATTGGCCACACCCAGCCAATCACATGACCGCCAAGCCATGTCCACCCAGTCACCTGACCACCAAGCCACACCTACCATCTACGTCACGCCCACAGAACCGGTTGTTAAAAAATTTGAATCCCACCCCTGGGGAAGGAGACTTGGGGTGTCCAATCTTGGCAACTTTAGGACTTGTGGACTTCAACTCCCAGAATTCCCCAGCCAGCAAGGCTGGCTGGGGAATTCTGGGAATTGAAGTCCACACATTTTAAAGTTGCCCAATTGGACATCCCTGGAGTAGACAGGGAAAGAATTCTTGACATCCACAACTGCACGATGTAGAATTTTTCCCAGCGTCACAAAAGGAACAGCAATACTCTTAACTCTGCTCTCTTCTCTTGTGGCTGAATCTTATAGGAAGAAACCGGTGGCTCATGTTATGCTTTATTCTTTTGGCAGTGGGATAAAAATGTTTATTTCAAACATCTAGGGAGATTCTCCGTCCTCCAGGTCCTGCTTGTCCCAAACGTCCTTTCTCAAGAGACAACTGGGCTTCCTGGTTTTCCTTTGAAGACCGTTTCACTTCTCAAGGCTCCCATTTGCGCTACTCAGGTGGCCTCAATGACCCTCTCGAAGGATGCAAATGACCAACTCTCTGCAAGGAGCATAAATCCTTCCGTTCCTCACCATTCAGTTCAGAGCTGAAGAAGCTTCTTGGATGAGAAGTGAAACGTCTTCAAAGAAAAACAAGGTGCAGTTACCACCTGAAAAAAGCACCTTTGGGTTTATTTCAAATTTGAACTGAGACCCAAGAGAGGATCTTCAGATTTACTCTCCTGCTTGAGAGGCGGCTGGACTAGAAGTCCTCCAAGGTCCCTTCCAGCTTCTATTCTATTCTATTCTATTCTATTCTATTCTATTCTATTCTATTCTATTCTATTCTATTCTATTCTATTCTATTCTATCCTATCCTATTCCTATTCCTATTCCTTTTTCTATTTCTATTCCTATTCCTATTCCTATTCCATCCCATCCCATCCCATTCTATTCTTTGCAGCAATCCTCCATTTATTTCAATGCTTGATTTATTCCCGTGGTTTAACTGGGCAGCCTGCAAAGTGAAACCCAACAAATTAGAACAATCCAAAATAATAAACAAAGCCTGATGCCAGGAAGAACTGATTCGAATCTTAAAATAAGAACATAAATCATCAAGTTTGCTTTAATGAGATGTCCCTACGTGGCTGGATCTTCTCAGTGACCTTTGCATAATTGCCAAGACGCTGCCTGCTCCATTGTTTAGTCTCCTTTGGACAGACATTGCTAAAACAGACATAAATGGATTATTCCAGCTTTGGGAATCTATTCACCCACGGAGGGTAGGTGGATGTACTTTGAGCATTTTAGGCAGAAGATTGCAAACAAGAGTAAAGTATTGTTAAGTTAAGTTAACTTCAGCAACATCTGCTAAAGGAGTTGGTTTATCCTCTTTTGGAGTTGGTTTATTCCTTGCCAAACCATTTGAGTTTCATCAGCAAAATGTAAAGTTACTTTTTAGGCAGGACAGAAAGAGAAATTTGCATCCATTTGGTCATCACATTTTGCACATTGCATCCATTTCATCATTTTAAGAAGTAAGAATCTGAATGGATCGGATGAGGAGAAGATGCCAAGCCCCCAAGCCCCCTTTCCCCTTAGAATGCCCCAAAGATCATGGGTTGCCCTCTCCCCTCTTTGGAAGAGCCTTAGAGCTCCCGCTGCCTTAAGAAAGTTCAAAACATCCTCAAAGATCCATCTCATCCTGGGTACCCTTTTTTTTTTTAATTTAACTATTACCATCTTGCAGCTGGTACAGGATAATAATAAAAACAAGGACAAATAGGCTGAAAAACAGCTTCTATCCCAGGGCAGTAACTCTATTGAATTCTACTGTGCAGTGTTGTTGCGAAGTTGGGGGTTTTCAATTCAATGTGCGGAAGGTGAACGATGTGTGTTTGTGTTGATTTTCATGGTGCTTGATTTTGTTGTGTGAGGTGCAGTGACAATAAAGTAAACTAAACTAAACTAAAGACCAACTAGAACAACTACAGCTCTGAAGCAGGGAGGGAGAGTAAAGCAAGGGTTGGATAGTGAGATAGGTGGCATATTAATTAGTTAATTAAATCTTTGTTCCTATAAAAGAGGAAACTGATCGCCTACAAGTTCCATAACGGGAGCCCAGCTTTTCAGCCAAAAGACTAGTTTTGCTCCAGTTTAAAACAGCTTTTAAACAACGCCTAAGTTATGGGACTGAGAATTTCCAGGGCTGGTCCTGAAGCCCCAAAGCTATCTCATAAAAGTGCTCCAAGCGCCTCTCCCCCTTACTGAGAATTGGATTCTGGCAGCTTCAGAGAAGGCCAACAGAAGGAATGTAATCTTAATCAAATCATCCTCAGCCACGTCACTTAAAGAGAGAGCTTCTTTGGAGTTGGCTCAGCCAGGTTCTTGCAACCTCTTGCCAAATCATTTGTGTTTTATCAGCAAAATGTAAAGTTATCTTTTAGGCAAGACAGAAAGCGAGGCAGCGAAGGCAGCAATGGTCCCTGCTACGCACCCGCTGTCCACTCTGGGATCTCACTAGATCACTTTCTGGAGATCATTCTGGGAAAGTACACCGATTTCCCCAGCAAGCTCATTTATGGTGTCGTAGACCCCTAAACGCCCCCAGGCCCCTTCAGATATGTTGGGCTACATTTCCCCTCATTTCCAGCCTGGGGATTGTGGGAGCTGCAATCCAAGCCATCCAGAGTCCACTGTGTTAGAGAAGAAGGCTGAGCTTCGAGGAACGGAAGGGCAAAAGAATGCTAAATGTAATAAGTCATCACAGCAGAATCATTGGCTCGCTAAACTCCCCCGACTGCCCCTCCCCCCATTTTTTGATGGAGACCCACAGCTGTTGAGAAAGTGGGGGCAAAGTCTGTCCCGATAAACACAACGGCATGAAGCTTTTCCCAGACCAAATTTGTTGGTCTTTTTGTTTGTTGATTGTATTTATATTTTACTGCAGTCCTTTGAGTTTCTTGCTGGTTTACAGGAATACAACAGTCATTAAAACATATCTCTGGTTGAAGTTAAAACAATTTTTGAATATATATATATAATGCATACACACATATATTTATCATATGCCTGCCTGCCTGCCTATCTATATCTTTCATCTATCTATCATCTATTATATATCATCCATCTATCTATCTATCTATCTATCTATCTATCTATCTATCTATCTATC